GGGGGGGGAAATAAAAAAAACAGTGTACACGTAAAACGCTTATAATTATCACGCGTTAACCTGAAAAGAAAAAAATATATATATATATATTTTACGATGTTTTTCAACAAGAACAAGAACAACAAATAAAAAAAAATAAAAAAATAGGGTGATAGAGAAGAAAAAAAAAAAAAGAAAAGAGGATACTTCTATTTCTAAGAGTCCTCCTTCTATCTTGGCAGTGTAGTCACGTATAAAGGAGTGGGCAGGAAAGGAGTGAGAAAAGTTAAAGGAACGTTTGATACTAGCACGAAGAGAGTAAGAGAGAAAAAGTAAAAGAGGATTTTTCTCGGGAAGTATCTCAAAGCTACTACGTCCGATGGAAAGCACTGTAAGCTTTAGAGACGTGAAGAAGAGAAGAAAACGTCGTGGTATACGTCGTGGTGTACGTCGTACACGTGACAACACGTATACGTTAGAGAGGAGGATGTGTTTTCACCTATTTTTTTTTTTTTTTTTAAAGTAGATCCTTCGGAATCTTCGAACGATAAAAATTGAATTCCCTTTTTTCTTCTTCTTACTAACATTTTATTTTATTTTATTTTTTTCTACTACTACTACTACTACTACTACAAATCTATGTATCTACGAATGCAAATAAAAACCCCGGTTACCACTGTGAAGAAAGTTTTTATATTGCACGCATGCAAATAAATGAATAAAAAAAATAATACGCGAATTAATTAAATTGTTTTTCCCTATTTCATCTTACAATTTTGTTAATACGAGAAAAAAACCTTATTATTAGAAAAAAAAAAAAAATATAAAACAAAATAATATGCAAATTAATTAAATTGTTTTTCCCTATTTCATCTTACAATTTTGTTAATATGAGAAAAAAAGAAAATCTCATTACTATGATAAATATAAATAGTTCTTATCATTCGAACGTTATTGTTCGATGATGCATACACACACACATACTCCTCCTCACATTTACACACCATCACACAAAAAAATATACGAATTGGTTTAACCATTTTTTGTTTTGTTATTCAAACGTTTAACAATGTCGAACAACATAACCGATAAAATTTCCATGATATTATCTAGTATTGTATTACATGTACTAACACAACAAATACTAACTCGTTTAAAATGTATCAATAGAAAAATATATATGTAGCCTATTTGTTTGATTAGTTACGAATTTTAAAAGCAATATTAGTTTTTATCTTAGCTTACACTAATATGTCTATATATATATATATATATATATATACAGTATATGTATAATTAGAGATTAAATTTGTTATTTTACTCGTTGAAACACTTATTCTGTACAGTAGATCGAATATATTCGTAAGTATAACGAAAGTCACATATATCTATGGGCTTTTATATACTCAGATAGAACACGTTTGATACCCCCACCTAAATGCAATAGAAATTAACGATGCATAAAACAAAATGTTTTAATACGAGAGTTCGAAATTATATAATAATGAAATAAACAAAAAATATATACATATATATATATATATTATAATCTTTCGCAATTGAGAAAATAATGCAAATGAATGCAGACGCGATTAAAAATATTATATAAATTAATTTATTAATTTAATATCATTATAAATGTTATAAAATATTTTTTTTATGGATATATATATATATATATATAAATATAATATATTTATATATAATAATA